TGAATTAAGGCTGATATCAGGAACCTGTTCTGGCCCAGAGTAGGGCCGGATATGGTTATACAATGCGGCTCAGATCCGGGCCGAATGCGGCCCGGATCATGGATGCCAGACCCGGGCCACTGCAGGACCGTCATTCATTGCGGTATGTGGGCCGAGTGTCGTGCCGTGTCCGCGCCAGAGCTGGGCCAGACCAATTTTGCTGACTGGGTGTTAACTGTGGCTGCTGGTGATGCACATCATGCCCTAATTTAGTTCATGAGTGACTCTGTATGAATCCAAATCTTTGTTAAGTTTCAAACAAGAATTTCCTATGAAAGCTATCATATGCTTTCTGCTCGTCTTGGGAGAATATTGGTTTTTCATTTCCGCTTGTTTGATAGCTGCATTAAGTTGAACCTTTGTGTGTGTTATGGGATGACTGCCTTCCTTTTCATGAAACCAGTTTGCTCTGATTGGATGATGGATGGAATGACCTCTTCGATTCTGTTTGTCAGTGCCTTGCTGATGATTTTTTATGTCTGTATTAATTAAAGAGGATGATAACTAGACGGCAGAGTGGGATCTTTGTAAGGTATTAAGCAGGGTAATTAAAACAGTCCATAGTGGGAGGTATTGTGTTAGTTGTGAGGATTTCATCAATCATTCAAAAAAAAAAAAATAGAGGAGAGACGGAATTCCATAATTGTTGATATAACTCCGCAGGAAAGTCACGTTGCTTGGCATTTCATGGAGAGCATTACAGGAATCATCGAAGGTTAAAGGCTGATCGGTTTGTTCCCAAATCCATTGGGGTAGATTGATATTGTTCAAAAATCTATAAGTATCTTCATATTTGGGTTATGAGGTGCAGTCTGCAAATCCTAATAATAGTTCTCAATGACATTGTTAACTTTTGTGTTGTGATGCGACTCCCTTGCTGAGACCTTTATCATTCCAGTGTTTGTCTTGTCTTTATTTTACGAGTTTTACCAGGTGTGCCATGGACTTATTACTTAGTTGTGATTAATTCAGTCAAGAAAAAAAAAAAATTGTTTATTTGTTTGTTGAAAAGGTCCTTTACTTCCATTTTGTGTTTCTGGAACTCGTATTAATGCTTTTAGGGAGATTGGTGGCATGGAGGTTGTCGCCTTCTTGAGTTTTCTTTTCTAATTTTGATTCCAGAACAGCACAGGTGTCAACCTCATGGTCCCGGGGCCAATTCTGGCCCACCACATTTTATGTGGTCCGCGAAAAAACCAATCATGTGTGTTAACTTGCATGACCCTTGCCAAAATGTGTACCAAATAGTCAATTTGTCATGTGTACGAAATTAGGTTGACATTTTGCAGTCATTTTGTTACCCTGTTTGGACTCACTTGAACAATAACTGAATTATTATAGTTGACTGATTTCAAAATTAGTAATCGATTAATTTGTTTTTGACAAGTAATAATGCGATGAGACAATTTTTTGTGCATTCACTGTCATAACGGGGAAGACGTAATTCCAAAGTGGCCCACGACAAAATTGAGCATGACAACCCAGCAGTACAGCATATTTCCGTGTTTTGTATGATGCCAACAGCGGTTTTCTCATCTTATCTTAAATAGTTGTTTGTCTACTCGTGCCCTGCGATTGGCTGACAACCAGTTCAGGGTGTAACCTGCCTACTGCCCAAAGACAGCTGGGATTGCCTCCAGCACCCCAGCGACACTCGTGAGAATAAGCCGGTCAGACAATGGACGGATGTATGACAAAAATCCCTGAAGCAGCTTGCAAGAGCAGTGTTGCGGATGTGTTCATGTTCATGAATGACTCTTCAAGTAACTGTCAAATTCCTGATCTTCAAGCAGTGATATGTTGAATCTCCATCTGGTAGAGGCGTGGGGGATGGCTTTTTGTATGTTGTGCAAGTGGAACTGCAGAGTGGTCACTTATTATTATTGGTTGGATTTGTCTTTCATATAGGTCAGAGTATTGAGAGTTGCTTGTGAGAAAATAATAAATTTTGGAATATGTGTGATCAATTCTTTAAAAAATGTGTGTCTTCTCTGTCAGTGTGGTAGTCTCCAACCCTCACCAAGGTCACAATCCTCCTTATATTGTTTTAGGACAGCAGTTGACTGAGGTAATCTGGTACTTTCTGAAGTGTTGGATTTGTCTAATGTCTGGGTTGTGTTACGTTGAAAAGTCTCCGAGCAAGGTTGTGAAGAGTATGGAAAAATCGATGAAGGAAGGCAAGGGTCATCATAGTTTGGGTCAGAAAGATTTGCTATTGTGAAGAGGATGTAGTTAATGGATATGTTTATAATGATTTGTGGTCCCTGCAGATGTAAGACTGAATTATTGTGATGAAAGGTTACCTTGTTGTTCTTCATAATTGCCACTTCTCGTTGTCTTGAGCTGTAATCTGTAGTCAAAATATGTGGGGAAATGTGTACATTTTAAAACATTGCTTCTAAGATCTGTTAAATGACTTTCTTGCAATAAAAATGTCTGGGTGTAATCTGAGAACATGGCCACTGACTTTTGACATCTTTCTATTGATAAATGAAGTTCGTGAGTAAAATTCCTAAAATTAAAAATGCCACATGGGGCAAGCGTGTGGAATGGGAGTCTGGAAATTATAATAATTGATGAATAACAGCAGGGGTGTTCACACGGCACACATTTGCTGCGGCGCTGCACCGATGTATTTTGTTGCGATATATTTTACACCGGAGCAAATTTTGTGGAGCGGTCACACGTACAAAGCCCTTGAGCGTATTAGCACCGGCGCAGTGTCGGTGCAGCTCCACTTGTGTTCACATGGCAGTTTCTGCAGCGGAGCAAAACAACAGAAAACAAATGAGCTGTCGTGTTGGTTCTTTTTAAAACGTATACACAACTCAAGCAACTACCGTACAGGCACGTCCTTCTCCTTCTCGGTCTCCGTGCCTTCTGCTCGAGAGTGACCGCCCCCGAAAACATAAATCAACGATGACTTCAATGACACTCAGAAAAGCAAAAATGTAATCCGCCAAACAGAAAAATCAAGAGAGGAAATCACAAAATAAATTCTATGGGGCACGGGGGGTTGTGAACACACAACAAAGGAACAAACTACACAAACAACTCCGAGACAGTCCAGTCTCCTACAAAAGGAAAGATGACGTTTGGGGACTATTCCCCCCCACCGCGTTCTAGTTGAGATGGTATAACCCAAGAGGTGCTAGCTACTCTTACCAGCCATGTCTTGTGTCTTGTTATTAAACAAACACATGACGGAAGTCCGACAGAGCACGAAAGCAAGGCATTCTCGCCGTACGTAATCAACTCTTCTCATGCGTAACGAGGCTACTCCCCCCTCGCAAACAAGCATTTGCTCCGGAGCAAATTGTAGCGTTCACACGTACCATTTTACATCAGTGCTGCCCCACAAACGAGCATTTGCTCTGGAGCAAATTTTTAAACCACCTACTGAGGTGGATCAAATTTGCTTCGGTGTAAGCTGTTTTACGGGGCTATGCTGGAGCAAATTTGCACATGTGAACGCTCTACTGGCGCAGTGCCGGCGTAGCGCTGGAGCAAATCTTGCCGTGTGAACACCCCTAGCATCTTTTTTTTTTTATGCATCTAAAACAATGCTGTCTGATATTTTACAGATGCATACACAGATGAAGACTTGATGCTTTACTGGAAAAGCGGTGATGAGTCCCTAAGTACGGATGATCGGATTTCATTATCACAGTTCCTCATCCAGAAGTTCCACACTACATCTCGTTTGGCCTTCTACAGCAGCACAGGTACAGTGGTTGAAGAATATTGTAATAGCACAAAAAATCCAAATGAGTCTTTCAGTAACTCGAATGGATCTTAGAACAGATTTTTTTCCACCATGACCTGCATGATACTCTTGTGTTTGTTTTGTTTGTAGCTTATTTGATACAGTCACACCACACGGCAAACGCTAAAATATCAGCCGTAACTGATTATTAATTAATCACACGAGGTGTTATTTCTGATCCGCTTTATCTTCACAAGGGCCGCGGGGGTGTTGGAGCCTATCCCGGCTGTCTTCAGGCAGTTTCTCCGTGTGTTCACGCAGGCGAACAAAATGCTCCACATTTTTGTTTCGAAGTGAAGGGTGTTTTGTTTGGAGATGGCGTTTAAGCTTACTTGGGGCCAAGCGCTGTTGAAGAGCCTTTCACCACATACCAAGCACAATGGAGTCAATGCCGTTGCATCTCTGGTCAAAGTCAATCCAAATGAAAGATAGCTTTCATTGTATTGCCTCACGCTAGAAACTTTGCTCGACGTCTTTGCTTTCTTTTGTCCTCCACTCATACTAGGACCTTCATCTTGGTCCGGATTTTGTCCAGGGTCCAGTTCAGAGTCAGTATTTTTCCTCTTCAAAAACCCTTTCACAGTCATCCTGCATCCAGGCGTCACTAATTAGCTTGTATCTAAGGACGAAGCAATTAGCTAGCTGCTACAGTGAAATTCCTCTACAACGAAACCTACATGGGCGAAAATACCCCCTAGTGTGAAAAAATCTTAATGCATTAACACCATTCCCACTTTCCTGCCCCACATACAATGAAAAAAAAACCCTGTTGCGTTCTACGAAATCTTTTTCTCTACTCTTGCCTCGTGACGAGATTCACTACAACGAAGTCTAATCCAACAGCGACCTCTACTGCTTCGTTCGGAAACGGCAACAGCAACCACCACACTGGTTTACACATGCGCAGTAGTCCAGGAAGTATTTGTTATTGTTAGTTTCAGACGCAGCAAGAACGTTGCATTGCTAAAATGGCTACAAAACGGACCTTTAGATGTCAAGCAGCTAAGACAAGAAGAGCTCTGACGCTGGAAGAGAGGGTAAAAGTGATCAAAATGAAAGACAGAGGAAGCAAAATAAAAGACATTATCCAACAAATTGATGTAAGTGAAAGTGAATGCTGATCGTAAATTCCCAATTTCTTTCTCCACTGACTAAATGAAGTGTCAAATAAGTGTATGCTCATACTTACGCACTATTGCAGGGGTGGCCAACCCGCGGCTCGCGAGCCGCATGCGTCTCTTTGACTGGTTCAATGCGGCTCCCGGGCTTTCACACGACAAGCGTCGAAAACGCCTCGGCAGTGGCGATGCCATTCGAACGAAGGCGCTAACTACATGGATCATACTATGTCAGCCTATCATCAATCCCGTTACTTGATTGACATAGCCTCCTGAGTACCAGGAGGAAGAACAGCTTGTTCCCCGATGCCCGTTCCTCCTGTAGCTGTGAAAGTCTTGCCTTGGTAGACCAAAAAATCCAAAACTAGACCAGTTGGCGCAGCCAAGACAAATACCTTCAGTCCAGTTGGGTTTGGTTTGCCCGGTACATACTGGCGCACTGGGCATCGACCAGTAAAAGGAACCATTTGCTCATCAATGCACAATTTTCCTGTTCTTGGCAGACTCAGACATCCTTGCCTTACTTTGCTCAAGAGAAAGCCTGATTCTCCACAAGAGATCACTTGTTTTTTTCTTCATCTGAAACATCAAGGTCGTTGACGAGCTTGATGGAGTTTCGCAATTTGTAAAACCGATTTTTGGTCATGGATTCCGCCACAATTTCGACTCTCGTACTTGAGGCCCAATACATTTGAATGTTTGGATATCCTAGACAGCCCATGTAAATAGAATTCCCAAAGAATGTCTTCAGTTCTTCAGGTGTGGTATTTAACGTTGCTTCAGACACAAGTACTTCACGCTGATTTGTGTACAGGGCCATTTCTTCAAACACAGATTCATCAATGTATTGCTTAAAATAATCCACCGGGGTCCAGTTTTGGCGTGTCATAGCAGCATCATGTCATCTTCATCAGACAACTCAATGTCTGAGTTTCCATCAACAATCCGCAGTAAAATTCCCTCTGCTTCTGAGAATGACTCCCATTCTTGTCATTTGGGAAAAAAAGAGCAAAATGGATGAAATAACTTCAAATGTCCACTACAGAGGACATTTTTTAAACACTTGAATACTAGGCTCAAATACACTTAAAAGAACTCAAACAACACTTTAACGTGTTCATAAGAGTCTTATAAATAAAATGCTAACAGCATTTCAAGACAAAATGTGTTTGATAAAAAGTATTAAATAGTTACTTTTCCTCTTCCCATAAAAAGTGCTTGCACTGAGGAAAGCCATTTTCTTCTACTGTGAAGTCAAGGTAACAAAGCCACACCCCCTACAAATTTGGTATCATTGGAAAGCACTGAATGTCCTCTTTAGAGCTCAAAAGGAGTTAATGCAATTGGATGCACTGGGTGGGAGATATTTAGGTTTAGAAATGTCCTCTACAGAGGACAAATTTGAACTCCTGGTAGTCAGGGGGTTAAAGGGCAACCAATCAGATGACTGCATCACCGCTCATGCACAAACAATGGCGCTAAGCTAGTCAGTGAATTAGCTCTGATTTTGAGGCAGGGGTGCCCAATACGTCGATCAGAATCGACCGGGAGCCAGCGAACTGGTCCCAAGTCGACCGCAAGGGGTGGGAGGAGGAAATGGGTGGGAAAAAAAAAGATTTTTTTTGTTTGTATCTTTAGCTTTTGTTACTTTTCGGCCTGTTCCGACTGTTGCTCATCGTGGGTGCGTGCATATGTGCACGAGTGCACTGGTGGGCACCCACGTGAGTGCGTGTGTGCGAGCGTGTGTGTGTGCGTGTGTGTGTGTGTGTGTGTGTGTGTGTGTGTGTGTGTGTGGGTGTGTGTGTGTGTGTGTGCGTG